CATAATGTGTTTTGTGATGAGGCTTGAGAAAGACTGTAACAGCGGGGCTGTGAGACTGCAAGAGCTGAGGTTGTGATGGAGACGCAAACAGTTGAGGTTGTGATGGAGACTGCAACAGTTGAGGTTGGTTGGAGACTGCAACAGTTGAGGTTGTGATGGAGACTGCAACAGTTGAGGTTGTGATGGAGACTGCAACAGTTGAGGTTGTGATGGAGACTGCAACAGTTGAGGTTGTGATGGAGACTGCAACAGTTGAGGTTGTGATGGAGACGCAACAGTTGAGGTTGTGATGGAGACGCAAACAGTTGAGGTTGTGATGGAGACTGCAACAGTTGAGGTTGTGATGGAGACTGCAACAGCTGAGGTTGTGATAGAGACTGCAACAGTTGAGGTTGTGATGGAACTGCAACAGTTGAGGTGTGAAAGGAGACTGCAACAGTTGAGGTTGTGATGGAGACTGCAACAGTTGAGGTTGTGATGGAGACTGCAACAGCTGAGGTTGTGATAGAGACTGCAACAGCTGAGGTTGTGATAGAGACTGCAACAGCTGAGGTTGTGATGGAGACTGCAAAAAGTTGAGGTTGTGATAGAGACGCAAAAAGCTGAGGTTGTGATAGAGACTGCAACAGCTGAGGTTGTGATAGAGACTGCAACAGCTGAGGTTGTGATGGAGACTGCAACAATTGAGGTTGTGATGGAGACTGCAACAGTTGAGGTTGTGATGGAGACTGCAACAGTTGAGGTTGTGATAGAGACTGCAACAGCTGAGGTTGTGATAGAGACTGCAACAGCTGAGGTTGTGATGGAGACTGCAACAGCTGAGGTTGTGATGGAGACTGCAACAGTTGAGGTTATGATAGAGACTGCAACAGTTGAGGTTGTGATAGAGACTGCAACAGCTGAGGTTGTGATGGAGACTGCAACAGCTGAGGTTGTGATGGAGACTGCAACAGTTGAGGTTGTGATGGAGACTGCAACAGTTGAGGTTGTGATAGAGACTGCAACAGCTGAGGTTGTGAGGAGACTGCAACAGTTGAGGTTGTGATGGAGACTGCAACAGTTGAGGTTGTGATGGAGACTGCAACAGTTGAGGTTGTGATGGAGACTGCAACAGTTGAGGTTGTGATGGAGACTGCAACAGTTGAGGTTGTGATAGAGACTGCAACAGCTGAGGTTGTGATGGAGACTGCAACAGTTGAGGTTGTGATGGAGACTGCAACAGTTGAGGTTGTGATGGAGACTGCAACAGTTGAGGTTGTGATGGAGACTGCAACAGCTGAGGTTGTGATGGAGACTGCAACAGTTGAGGTTGTGATGGAGACTGCAACAGTTGAGGTTGTGATGGAGACTGCAACAGTTGAGGTTGTGATGGAGACTGCAACAGTTGAGGTTGTGATGGAGACTGCAACAGTTGAGGTTGTGATGGAGACTGCAACAGTTGAGGTTGTGATGGAGACTGCAACAGTTGAGGTTGTGATGGAGACTGCAACAGCTGAGGTTGTGATGGAGACTGCAACAGTTGAGGTTGTGATGGAGACTGCAACAGTTGAGGTTGTGATGGAGACTGCAACAGTTGAGGTTGTGATGGAGACTGCAACAGCTGAGGTTGTGATGGAGACTGCAACAGTTGAGGTTGTGATGGAGACTGCAACAGTTGAGGTTGTGATGGAGACTGCAACAGTTGAGGTTGTGATGGAGACTGCAACAGTTGAGGTTGTGATGGAGACTGCAACAGTTGAGGTTGTGATGGAGACTGCAACAGTTGAGGTTGTGATGGAGACTGCAACAGCTGAGGTTGTGATAGAGACTGCAACAGTTGAGGTTGTGATGGAGACTGCAACAGTTGAGGTTGTGATGGAGACTGCAACAGCTGAGGTTGTGATAGAGACTGCAACAGCTGAGGTTGTGATGGAGACTGCAACAGTTGAGGATGTGATGGAGACTGCAACAGCTGAGGTTGTGATGGAGACTGCAACAGTTGAGGTTGTGATAGAGACTGCAACAGCTGAGGTTGTGATGGAGACTGCAACAGTTGAGGTTGTGATGGAGACTGCGACAGTTGAGGTTGTGATGGAGACTGCAACAGTTGAGGTTGTGATGGAGACTGCAACAGTATCGTAAGGGTTCTTGAATGGAGATATCACAGGTTGAAAGTAGACACACTTGTAGGATGGTAGATATATTGTCAGACTGAGATGAGAGATGGAGCCCGGTGCCAAGCCTGTTCACGTCTTGTAGGTCTGCCGCCGAGTGAGGACGGGACAGGGGGATCACTGCCACATGTGATCCCTATGACGTCACACAAGCCAAAGGCCTACGAGGGAATCTCGTGTCTAAAGCACAGGGATGATACTAAATGCTATGCTATATAATACTGGGAATACAGGATCAGCACATATGCTGACAGCTCGGTCATGTTACGTATGTCGTCCCGACATACACTACTATACTATAGGCTGAACAGGCAGGCGGATCTGGGCTGATTCTATACAATAACAAATGCATATATAACTTAGAACTAATGGATGGTACAACATGATTTTGACGTAATGGGTGTTAACGTAATCCTTACAAACTATAAGTACAAATCATTATACAATATGGATGGAATTGATCGATCGATCTGTATTCATGCACTCTACGGATTCTGAGGAAGAATAAATATATACAAAGAAGTGTTTTAACAGAAAGGCCAGATTCGGTGCACTCAAATCTAGACTATTAATTCTCAGAATACGGAGGGAACGTGAACACGAAAATTTCTGACAAACTGATCAGCTAATAATAAAACACACAGTTGACAAATTCATTCATCTCGGACATCTAATTATGCAGGCTGTTTACACTTAAACCCAATTCTGCGAGGGTAAGGTTTACATATGCAGAATGGTTATCATCTCTGGGAGGATCGAATTCCTCTGCATGGCTAAACATGCCTTGACTGAGAGAGATCTGAAGGAGTATCTACAAGATACAGGTACAATCACTAGTGACTGTGGAATTACTAACTCGTCTGCTAGGAGTACTCAACTCGACTATTCGATACAGTAATTCTTGGCTCATAAGTCACTAATGAGTACTGGTGGCTTCACAGTAAGAATAAGCTCTTCCTGGAGCAGGAATCGAATCACACCAGAACACAAGGGATCGGTTCTTTGGGAATTTCTGACAACCTCGACAGTAAATGGAGGATCTGCAGTAAAACTACACTAACGTGTCGCGATTAAAGCATCTGCGACTACATTTGACTTGCCAGGTAAATTTTCAAAAGTGGGATTGAACTCTTGGATAGTCAAGGACCATCTGGCTAACCTTCCAGTAGGCTGTTTGTTCTGGAATAAAGGTAACAGTTCTTCCTTACTGGAGGAAAGAACAAACTCGGTGGAGTGGAGGACTCCCCCCGGTTGAAAAAAAATTAACGCTATAACACGCAATATGAGCAAGGGAGAACGAATCTACTATCTCAACTGCAAGCACAGGAGAAAAGAAATGAACACGGTGAACAATGCTGATATTCAATCTGAGTCGCACACAGTGACACGAGGTATCAGCTATAAAGAAACTACACTTACAAACGTTAACATGTGAAAGTTACTCGAGAACTAACTTCTTACAATGCACTGATTACTGTCAACTAGGATGGGATCACCATCTGGAACATTAGGAACAACAACAGACACTCTAGTGAGAGCACTAGCTGTAACAGAGACGTCTTTCTGCAGACAGCATGTCACATCAACAAGAGATGGCATTACTAGTTCCAAGTAATCGTTTTCTGACAAGGCATCCCCTGTGGAGAAACTACTACTCGAACTAGCAGTCATTGCAGGGATAGGCTGTGCACTCAAGGCAGTCTGAGTGTCCCGGACACTTGAGGCAACGGAACACTATCCTGCAAGTCTGAAGGTATAGGTGGAACACAGATGGGAATGACAGAATTACTAGTGCCTGACCGCTCGGCTACGTTAATAAGTAATTCATGGATCTATAGGAACTTAATCTGAACTTCACATTTCGCAGCACTTTAACAAATCTCAGATACAAGCTGTGAGAACAAACACATTGCTCAAGGGCTAGGTATTGTCTTTCAGTCAGTAAGGGAATGTTGGTACTGTGGATGATTCATATTGACTTTGACTGGAATGATACACTAAGTGAACGTTCAAAAGTGACTGGGACATCTTCTCAGTGAAAATACTGAAGGGCATAAGTCAAGAAAATGGAGAGAATGACACACATAAGCTTAAATGGAAAAAAATGCTTAACTATTCTGCATAAGTAATTAAAAATTTACAAGTTACACAGTAAGCAAAGAACTCACACAAGAATAATATGCAACTTAACAAACACTGAAAATCAAGAGAACTTGTTACTTTGCTCAAATCTAATATGCTCAACTTTTACTTTAAATTGAATAAATGGCACAGTGAGTTGTCTTTACTTTCAATGCAACAAGGAAAATACACAATAAAATAATAAAATGGACTCAATAAACTTGAGCAAAAATTAAAACAAACACACAATTCACTGAAATTAAAAAAAAAATAAAATGACAGACAGAATAAAATACTATGGACAGAACAGAGCATAAGAAACTGCACTGTAATAAAACTGTATTGCACAACACTGCATAAAATTTTCTGCAAGAAAACTTTAATAGCAACACAATATTTGCACAAGAATTATTGCAAAATGAGTCTGTGTGCAATAATTAAAATTATAACACACAAGAAAAGAAATATATCAAGGAATGAACACTTTAACTCTTAACTGCACTTAAACAACAAGCAAAAGAACAATTTACTTTAAAAGGAGAACTTAAAAATTGCACTAAGAGTGAATTTGTTCAATAAAATATGAAAAATAATAGGTGCTAAAACACACAACAAAAAGAAATACAACACTTACAGTGATGCAGAGCACAAAACATCAACATAAACTCAGTACTAGAATTTTCTTGCAATGAAACTTGATGTTTTTAAAAAAATTTTGTAAACAGATTTCTTGCTGGAGCTTTAAAAATGGCACTATTGTCTGTGGAAATAAGACAAATTAAACACTGGCTGAATAAAGGAATATGAACACAAGAATGTTCAACACACAGGGAACAAACAAAAATACACAATTGCTAGGAAGAAAAAAAAATAACAGACAACACTGAGTTGTGATGCAGAATATGAGGTGAAAAATTTACTGAGTTAATTCACTGGAATTCTGAAGTTTAAACACAAGTTCTATACTGCTCATATGTTGCACACACAACAAAGGAAACACTAAGTACTTACTTCAAGTGTATAAAAAGATACACAACACAACAGATATAAAATAATGCACGAAAATTAACACTGAATTAAGGAGATTAAAAGAAATTTATGCAATCAGTACATGATAAACACTGAGTCTGATCAAGAGTCACTGAATGTCACTAAGAGAAAAATTCACTGGGAACACAAAAGAAATGTCTCAACACTCGCAAATGTCTCTAAAAAAAAATATTATAGCTGTAACACTTGAAAAAATGAGATTGATGGATTGTTTTTATCGTCTTGCTGCTGTCCTCTGCACAGATGATCGTAGAATTGCGCTTAAATCGGCGAGAGACAACACATAGGAGGCTTTTAAAGATGGCGCGCCACTCTCTAGCTCTTGACCCCTATGTGGTCCTTAAAATATGTGCTACAACCCTTAGCAGAGCACCAAAACACTGATGAGGTAGGTGAGTTGTAATGGCCGACTGTAGTTGGGTTTGTGGGTGATGGCTGAGCGAGGCGTCTGAGACCGGCAATGATGCGACACACGTGATCGTGAGTGGCTGGGCTTATGGGTTGAACGTCGTAAGCCTCACTGAGAAAACCCACACTGCCGCGAAGATAATTCTAAGCCGGCTGGCTTAGAAGAAACCCACGAAATACTACAACACCACAAGGATGACAAGGAGCACTCAGAATGCTTGGAACTAGAATCACAAGCGATGAAGGCTACTCATGTGGCTTGCTTGAGTACTGGGTAAGACACTGGGTTAGTTGCTAGCTGGCTTATCTTAACCCTTCACACAGAATAGCTTGATAACTTCACACGATGAGCACAGCAGGGGTGGAAGCTGGCTTGGCAGGCAAAAATAATTGGATGGAGTAGGCTAGGCTGGACTGGACTCGGGTGTTCTGACTCCCCACCACAGACTGGAAGCTGGCTTATTTTGCAAACTCGGGTCAACCCCTCGGGAGTAATGCAAAAGAAGCAGGAAACACTAATACAAAGAGACTGACCAGTGAATAATGTAGAAGCTGGTAGAGTAGCTGGCTTGAGGTAGCTGGATGGGGTGAACCTCGGTAGGCCTACTGGTAACACGAAATGGCCGTCTTGCTGGTCGACAACTTTATCTCCAGAAATCGCTGTAATCGTCAGAATTACAGGCTCACCGCTGTCACCATTTATCGTAAGGGTTCTTGAATGGAGATATCACAGGTTGAAAGTAGACACACTTGTAGGATGGTAGATATATTGTCAGACTGAGATGAGAGATGGAGCCCGGTGCCAAGCCTGTTCACGTCTTGTAGGTCTGCCGCCGAGTGAGGACGGGACAGGGGGATCACTGCCCATGTGTATCCCTATGACGTCACACAAAGCCAAAGGCCTACGAGGGATCTCGTGTCTAAAGCACAGGGATGATACTAATATGCTATGCTATATAATACTGGGAATACAGGGATCAGCAACTATGCTGACAACAGTTGAGGTTGTGAAAAAGACTGCAACAGCTGAGGTTGTGATGGAGACTGCAACAGTTGAGGTTGTGATGGAGACTGCAACAGTTGAGGTTGTGATAGAGACTGCAACAGCTGAGGTTGTGATGGAGACTGCAACAGTTGAGGTTGTGATAAAGACTGCAACAGTTGAGGTTGTGATGGAGACTGCAACAGTTGAGGTTGTGATGGAGACTGCAACAGTTGAGGATGTGATGGAGACTGCAACAGCTGAGGTTGTGAAAAAGACTGCAACAGCTGGGACAGATAAAAACTGCAGCAGCTGAGGTTGCAAGAGAGGTAAACAATAACTTCAGTCGACAAGTGGGAATACAGACACTGTTAGCAGAGGATCCTTTAAATACAACGTTTCTCTCAATTTTAGACTTTATCAATTACACAGGAATAATCCGCTTCACAGCTTCATAAAGTAAACAAACACCATAAGGTCAGATTAGGAGAAGGACATTTCCTACATAAGGTCATTACGTGAATGGGTCACAGCTGAGGTCACAATTGCAAGATCAAGTCTGGTGAGGTCAGGAATTGGTGGAATCAAAGGTTGGGAATGAGATGATATGTTTATTACATTTTATGAATCGTGGACAACGTGGGTAGCAGGTGCAGCTAACATATACACGACTCTGTTTTACTCAATGGTTTTGGCGAGATGGATCACTGCTGCTTCCAGAATTCTGCATCTGGTGCCGATTTTGTGGTTTTGGTAGCAAGGCCTGCTACTTCCGTGTTGGCTCTTCGGAAAATCGAGACGATGGTGATGGGAGTCTGCCCAGTGGGAAGGACCAGTCGTCCATCGATGGAGGAATCGATGTTGCTGTGAATGAGAAAGGTTTTCTCTTTCTAGGAGTGGATAACGTACGTTGGGAATTTTAAGTTGGCGAACGCCACCTCAATGTATTTTTGTTCTTCTAAAAGATATTCATTACTGCAAATACGAGTGCTCTGAGGAGGAAACCAATAATAACTTCCCTCTTGGTTTTGAGGCAATGGGAAAAGTAATGCACTAAGTCATTCTTATTGGTAGATTTTCCGTATACATTGCATTTATGAATATCTCCATCCTTGATCAGTAAGACATCCAGAAAGGGTGAGGATCCGTCTCTTCTTCTAGTGTTAATTGTATAGAGGGCTCATTCATGTTGGGTTGAAACACCTGGGAACAATCCTCTAAAGGTGTTCTAAATGCATATTTGCTAAAACTACTGTTGCAGTCTTTTTCGCAACTTAAGTTATGAAAAGAGACTGCAACAGCTGAGGCTGTGAGACGGACTGTAACACAGAAACTGGACAGCTGAATGCTCTCCATTATTTTCAGAAAGTTAGCAACAGCAGCTGTTCAGTACCTCGTATGAAATTATATGGGCCATACAAGGTAGATATAAGAACAGTCTCCATTAAAATGAAACAGTAATATAGTTGATGACACTAAATATTCCAGAGCATAATTAGATGCGATGAGAAACTGTTCATGGGCTACACCAGCTAAATTTAAGCTTACCAAAGATTAGTTGGCTGGACTGAGGTAAAGTTGGGTGGGTGTCGTAACTGTACATGGCTGTTGTGGTGAAGTGTTGTAACTGTACATGGCTGTTGTGGTGAAGTGTTGTAACTGTACCTGGCTGTTGTGGTGAAGTGTTGTAACTGTACCTGGCTGTTGTGGTGAAGTGTTGTAACTGTACATGTCTGTTGTGGTGAAGTGTTGTAACTGTACATGGCTGTTGTGGTGAAGTGTTGTAACTGTACATGTCTGTTGTGGTGAAGTGTTGTAACTGTACATGTCTGTTGTGGTGAAGTGTTGTAACTGTACATGTCTGTTGTGGTGAAGTGTTGTAACTGTACATGGCTGTTGTGCTGAAGTGTAACTGTACATGGCTGTTGTGCTGAAGTGTTGTAACTGTACATGTCTGTTGTGGTGAAGTGTTGTAACTGTACATGGCTGTTGTGCTGAAGTGTAACTGTACATGGCTGTTGTGCTGAAGTGTTGTAACTGTACATGGCTGTTGTGCTGAAGTGGGAGAAGGTTTAGAAGTGGATAAACTTTAGGGCGCGTTTAAGGAACTGTTTCGGTCCTGGGCCTTTGGTCACAACTTGATACATTTTTAGTGACCAAGGGCCCAGGACCGAAATGTTGTCATTAAATATGTCCTGAAGGTGATATTTTTTTCAGGGTTATATTCAAGCCTAAATACACTACACACCGTATTTTAAGTTCAAAGATATTAGACCTGTTGAACTGTAATCCTCTGATCCATCTCTATGTATCCTGGTAAAACTTAACGTCTGGAGTTTACCTGGAGAGAGTTCCGGGGGTCAACGCCCCCGCGGCCCGGTCTGTGATCAGGCCTCCTTAGGTCAGTGTCCCAGGATGCGACCCACACCAGTCGACTAACACCCAGGTACCCATTTTACTGATGGGGAATATAGGCAACAGGTTGAAAAAACACGTCCAATGTTTCTACTCTGGCTGGGATCGAACCAGGCCCTCACCGTGTGAAGCGAGAGCGTTAACCACCAGGCCACCAGAGTCCGTCAACTGCGGATTCGCATCTTTGAACACTTGAGGAGATTTTTTGGGGGAAACTAATATATTGCCTAGCAGGTAAACAACCATTTTACGAAATTTATTCCAATATTGTGAAGCCACAGACCATACCACAGACGCAAGATTATTCACAGCATCCTCCATTCGACCCCTCCCAAACATGCACCTTAATGTGCCATTAGACACAAATCTGTGTTGTAGTTACTTAAATTTTTAGATTTTTTAATATTTTTTTTATATTATTATTGTTTTGATGTTTTTACCCGTGTTAAGATGCGCTTTTTTGTTGCGATTTTTTTTCCAGATTTTACAACAAAATTTTGATTTTTATGGTTTTTTTTCTGCTCTATTGTTATTTTTTTTTTCTGCTCTGTTTATTTTTAATTTTTTTTCTGCCCCTGTTTATTTTTTTTTTTTCTGCTTGTTTATTCATGTTTCTTTTTCTAACATTTTTCTTTGTTTACTTTAAATAAAGATGTGCTGTATCATACTTACATTTACTCTTTTTGTTGATGGAAATTATTGGCTTTTCAAGTGGTGAATTGCACATGCAAAGGTAAATGAAGTGCCAAGACAAGGATCTGCTTATTTCGGCTTCAATCAGAGACCCTTTTCTGCAGGTGAAGAGGGTCCCCTGACTGAGGCCGAATATTCACTGCCTTTCCAGTGCTTTATATAATTTCTGTCTGTGAAATTTGCCTTTTTATCTGTAGGGGTTTACGGGCACCGACATCCCCAGAGTTGTGCTACGGTCGACAAACTATAACCCAAAGGCTAGACGCAGCTTCCAGCAGCTTAATACAATTTTCTACTCGACTGGTCACATCTTATGAGTGATCTTGCCTTTATTAACTTGAAGTAGATAATTTAATGTATTAGTATGCGTGTGTGACCTTGGCATCAGCCAGATGGAGGCACTGGCACTGGGTTTCAATTATCAGCGTGCTGGGTCTAGATACGAACGATGAAGTTGTGTCGTGGTAATAGGCATTGATACCCGTTGATAAGGATATTGTAAATGTAATGTTATTAATAAACCCCCATAAATGAAACCGCCGAAAATGAAGTTGATTTTAATCGATGGAGTGTCAACCATTTGGTCTATAATGTTCGGCCATTATGGCGGTATGTTCACTCACAGGATGATTGATGCTGCCTAATGAACTCCCTCTTCTAGGCGAAGTAAAAAAAATAATATTGTCTCGAGCAATAATAGTGAAGGATAAAGGTGGGCGTGTCATCCACCTGCAGCCCATATACCAGTGTGTGTGTGTGTGTGTGTGTGTGTGTGTGTGTGTGTGTGTGTGTGTGTGTGTGTGTGTGTGTGTGTGTGTGTGTGTGTGTGTGTGTTGTACTCACCTAGTTGAGGTTGCGGGGGTCGAGTCCGAGCTCCTGGCCCCGCCTCTTCACTGATCGCTACTAGGTCATCTCCCTGAACCGTGAGCTTTATCATCCTCTGCTTAAAGCTATGTATGGATCCCGCCTCTACTACATCGTTCCCAAACTATTCCCCTTACTGACACTCTGTGGCTGAAGAAATACTTCCTAACATCCTGTGATTCATTTTGTGTCTTAAACTTCCAACTGTGTTCCCCTTGTTACTGTGTCCCAAACTCTGGAACATCCTGTCTTTGTCCACCTTGTCAATTCCTCTCAGTATTTTTTTATGTCTTTTACCATGTCCCCCTATCTCTCCTGTCCTCCAGTGTCGTCAGGTTGATTTCCCTTAACCTCTCCTCGTGGACATACCTCTTAGCTCTGGGACTAGTCTTTTTGCAAACCTTTGCCACTTTCTCTAGTTTCTTTACGTGCTTGGCTAGGTGTGGGTTCCAAACTGGTTTCCCCATACTCCAATATGGGCCTAACATTTCACGGTGTACAGGGTCCTGAACGATTCCTTTTTAAGATGTAGGAATGCTTTTTCTGAGGTTTGCTAGGCGCCCATATGCTGCAGCAGTTATTTGGTTGATGTGCGCTTCAGGGGATGTTCCTGGTGTTTACTCCCACAAGATATTTTTCCTTGAGTGAGGTTTGTAGTCTCTGGCCCCTAGACTGTACTCCGTCTGCGGTCTTCTTTGCCCTTCCCCAATCTTCATGACTTTGCACTTGGTGGGATGGGAAATCAGGGGCCAATTGCTGGGACCAGGTCTGCAGCCTGTCCAGATCCCTTTGTAGTTCTGCCTGGTCTTCGTCGAGTGAATTCTTCTCATCAACTTCACGTCTCTGCAAACAGGGACACCTCAGAGTCTATTCCTTCCGTCATGTCGCTCACAAAA